AGTCGATCAGCTTCAATAGAGCAAACGCATGAAGCACATACTACGCATACAGTTTACCAGTTCCAAGGATACGATGCTTTTGCACATTACCTCGGCGTGCCATGATGTATAGTCCGAGCTCCCTTCGCGAGATAAAACGTTGTTTCTTGAGAATTTTTTGCTCCATGCCGTCGTCATCAACATCATCATGGTCACATTTTTCAATATTCTCGCCACAAACAATGTCATCCTCCTTCCTTTTAGCAGAAATCGCTCGACGTTTAGGAAGCATGTCTTTAACAAAGGTCTGCTCTCCACGAGGAAACAACAAAGGATACGTGAGCGCATCTATGTTATAACTCTGATGTGGAGCCTTAGTTTCTCCACCTCGTGAAAAAATCTTGAGTCCCTCGTCTAACTCTTTATGAGACAACATCCGACCATCTTTACTAACATAAATTGCTGAAATTTGATTTTCGAATACTGGTATGTTTAGACGCGCAGGATGTACGCCCGATGCAATATGTCGAGGAAAAACCCTTTTCTGCTTAAGATTCGTGATAATTCTGGGAACCTTGTTTGCGTTTTCAAATCCGATCTTTTTCATTTCGTCGAGGCAGACTTCATACATGGTCATATAACATTGGACTATAGCATTATTTTTACGCAAGTCGTCGATAATCCGTTATATAAGTCCATATTGCACTTTCGTTCCCCCATAGTTTCATGGTAGAACGGAAACGCTGCACTTTGCAATCATCGGCGGTAAAAAGCTGAGCAAAGCAGGCTTTTTCCGAATCGGGGGGGGGGGGGGGGAGGGGGAGGGGAGAGGAGGGGGGGGGGGGGTTCAGGTGACAAAGGCCAATATCGAAACGACCTCGACATTGTATCGGACTCTTCAGTCTAGAATTTTATAAATGTTTGCCAGTGAATTATCCTCACAGATATGACCACGTCTTGGTGCTACTAAAAGAAAAGATTCTTGCTGTTAACACAGAAATGTTTAGTAGAAAAGCAGTATGCAAAGTGTGACGAAAGAAATTATGTCAATACAAGTAAAAATAAACACCAAATAGAAAGGAGCCAATCCAAAGAAGCAGGATAACTCGGTGGACGAGGCGATCTCTAGAACGTTTCATATTGATGAGTATCCACCGAAATACTTTGGACTTTGCTGTCCCAAAGAGCAATAAGGGATGTCCAAGAGCACAACACGCAGTAGCTTTTTTTCGGATCTTCACCAAGAAATGTTTTTTAACAGAGTGTGAAAGCAATTCTTGCTTCTATCAAATTGGTTGTGGATTTTTTGTCTAAGTTTTCAGAATTCAAAGAACACTCTCAAAACAGAATAGCTTTGCCCTCACTTTTCTAGCAGAAACGCAGTGAACGCTTTCTTTTCAATTGCAAAATGTCCACTGCAGAAAAGGAAACTTTTTGATACATTTGTGACAGTACGACCCACCGGTGGGTCGTATGCTTTCTGAACTTTTTAATTTTGCTAATACGATGAAACTTTTTCGGCACACTGCATAAACTTCTGTGTAGTATCTAGGAATACTTTGCGAAAGATTAACACTTTAGACAATAGGACCCATTAATGGCTAGAAAATATTACATAGACTCAATATTGTGAAATATGCTCTGGTTTAAAATTGCTGTTGTCGGAAAATCACCGTTGTCGTGAATGTGTTAAAATTACCTACTTAGCTGTAAATGGACGCGAAGATGTAGCATTTGTGGCATTATAAGATTCATTTTTCTTATATTTAGTTTTTTGCTGTAGTATTTCTTCAGTGTATGCCAGTTATTCCTGCTTTTTTACGTAGAGCGCTTTGCATTCTTAGAAAATATTGAGAAAAAAAGGCAATAATAACTGGCATACAAAGATTGACGAAATACTACAGCGGAGATCACTAAATGGATGAGAGAGACGGAAAAAAGAAATTGAAATTTGCCCTCACTGTTCATGTTTCTAGTAGTCATTCATCCTGAAACTGATCATAGTTGCAAGTTTTTTTAGTCAAAATGGAGATTCTATATGAATTTGTGCATACCATACAGAGGACCAGTACACCACGAGCAAGCCAATTTCTCATATTTGTGCCGTTTCGAATTGGAGGGAATTTTGCAGTACCAAAGTTATGACCCACCGGTGGGTCCAGTTGCACGAGTAGCATTCTCAAAAAGATTTGGAAATAAATTCAAAGCTTTGTTCAGGTCGAGGGGAGGGGGAGGAAGGGATGATAATTACGAAAATAACATCATTCTTGCTTAAGTTTTATACTAAGACGGTAGTCATTCAATCAAGACCGTATCATGGATTTTTCCCGTATAGTCCAAACAAATGTCTTTGCTGCGACACAAAAATAATCTCCCAGTGTAACTTTTGATTCAACTGAATTGGCTCCAGGAAGGGGCTTTGTGACCTAATTAAGGCCGCTCGCGCCCGCGACGCACATGCGCTCTCTCGCGCGAGTGCTCTCCGATCATTACTTGGCCTTAATTAGGTCATGAAGCCCCGCCTTCCCGAAGCCAATGCAGTTGAATCAAATGGTAAGTTTCTTCACATCATAAACATGTGATTAGGCAAACTCCTGATACCATTCAATCACCCTCTGTACTATATGGGCTTTCTACATCCAAAATATGGGGGGGGGGGGGGGTTCCCATGGTTACCATCAATTTGACAACCAATTCGCTGCCTTTCGGTCGCTTCAACATGTTAACTTCGAGTAAGCGCTTTATATTTGCAGAAGTTGACGTGCTAGAAGAAGCGACTCAGACACTGAGACCGGCCGAGCCGCGGCCCATTTCCGGCTGGAATTTCGCAGCGTCCGCGGACCAGCCGGTGAAGGTCCGCGGCTCAGCCGGAAAACAGCCTCGGCTCAGCCGGAGCTGGTTGTCGGGCCATATAGTTCATTCTAGCTCGGATACAAAACAACTGTTTTTTTATTCACTGGCGCGTAAAATACACGCTGTGAAAAACAAAAATTAAAGTCGCAGACATGGCCGCTTCGGAAACCATGTCCGGCTTCAAGATTGGACAACACAAAGTGCTATCCAGGTGTTGTACAACACATTAGTCTTGTTCCTGCCTTGGAGACTGGAAAGACATGGAAGGCTATGGACACTGAGGGCAGCCTGACCATGCGTCGTACATCACGCAAGTGTTCTTTACGCTCAGATACTAGGACCAGCCGAGCCGAAAATGGGCCGCGGCTCAGCCGGTGTTTCGTTATAGAGATTTTGGTACGCGGCTCAGCCGGTGCAATCATATCGACATGAATTAAGGTCCGCGGCTGGGCCGGTCTTCGGCCACGCCCCCAAATTAAGGCCGCGGCTGGGCCGGTAAGCCATATTCAGTCCGCGGCTCAGCCGGTGCAATCATATCGACATGAATTAAGGTCCGCGGCTGGCCGGTCTTCGGCCACGCCCTCAAATTAAGGCCGCGGCTGGGCCGGTAAGCCATATTCAGTCCGCGGCTCAGCCGGTGCAATCATATCGACATGAATCAAGGTCCGCGGCTGGGCCGGTCTTCGGCCACGCCCCCAAATTAAGGCCGCGGACGGGCCGGAAAGGCCTTTTGAGGCCGCGGCTCAGCCGGTCAGTATCTGAGGAAAGGCAGCGAGCTGAGTGCGTGAGCGGTGGTACAAATGAGGACCTCTCTGAGACACAAACCATATTCGGTTGCTTTTTACGCATCCCCGCACTGGCACGTCAAGTTAATCCTAATCAAATTATCGTTGGTGACTACCGTGGGACATCAACTTCGCCAACTAACCGTCTGATCAATTTGCATCTGAAACTGCATCCTGCTTAGAAAGAAAACTGTAGCCAGTTTGTCACAAAATTCATTATCGCTTGCGCAGGATAAAGCTTTCATCAGAGGATACGAAGATGTGCTTGGGTAGTGGACCACATGTAGCCGGCAGGCTCCACCCTGCGCGGACGGCAGGTACAGATGTGTAATGTCTGTAATGTGTGTGCTGCGTGTCTGTCGCAGATGTCCGCGTGGGATCACCATTTTTGGCGACATATAGACCCCTATCCATATGTTACTTGACGCGAGCAATTTGAGACCTGTTCAGCACAAAATTACTTTTTTTAAGAACTCCTAGTAGAGTTGGAATGGCCTCAAGATTATTTGTAGCTTTGTTGTACAGGAAGGCAGAACTTTATGAATACTTGTATTAAAAAGTATGTCACTCACAATGGTACAACTGTCAATTATCTACTTATTATCAAAGTATTATAAACAGTAACAAGAATAAACCAAACAGAAATAATCACCGAAACGTCACCTGTTCAAACTACAGTAATCAAACTCTAATTTACACGCGATTAAGAGCAGTACTTTTTTCTCCGTACAGATTCTATCGAATATAATCGGTGATTAAGAATAATACAATTGAAATGTGTCAGAAATATGGACAAATCCTGAAGATCGATAAGGTGTGATATAGCTAGGTGAGAACGGAGACCTAGAGCTGAAGATGCGAACCGGTAAAGGAACGTTGGCATCGAACTGGTTATGATTTGGCAAACTGATGAGCCTGATGATGAGAAAGGTGATTTTAGAGCAATGAAATACAGGCTTTAACAATCTAATAAGAACTTCAAACCGTTTTACTATAAAAACCTATGGGGTTTTGACAGATCAACGTCAATGCAATGTCATGTTTTATTTCATGAGCGAGATTGCTTGATAGAAAGTAGTTTAGAGTTTAGTCGCAAACGAAGGCGGAATGACTAGAATGTGACCTTGATTCAACTGGCTTGGCTCCGGGAAGGCGGGGCTTTGTGACCTGATTAAGGCCGCTCGCGCCCGCGACGCAATCTACGTCTCTCCCGCGCGCGTGCTTTCTGATCACTACCTATTCTTAATTAAGTCACGAAGCGCCTTCCAACCGTCAAAGGATAAAAAGTATGACACAAGCGCGATGCGCGAGCGGAAGCGACTTCAATATCTGTCTGCAAACCACGCGCTCCAGTAATGACATGTGCCCTACCGCAGCGCCTATTGTCCTCGCGATGAAAACCATCCGCCTTCGTCCGGGACTAGACCTTAGCTAGGATAGCTGTTTGAGAAATGAAAACAATATGAGTGACCCGCAGTGAATCTGGGCGAGAATAATACATGAAAACAATGGACAATAGAGCAATGAACGCTAAAATGAAGTAAGAATTGGGCGTTCTGGGGATGGTTTACGAGTAGATCGTAACCACTTCGGCTCCAGTACCTCGTACAAGTAGCACACGCTTCAATCCTTCTGTCAACGCTTCGATGAACTCCATATCTGGAAAAAAGAGAAGTACAAGTACGCGTTGTCAAGAAAAGATCCTAGTGTTTTCATGCTTACAGTATGAATCCGAATCCTGGTCAGGTGGTCCTGGTAAGTTGACAATCAATAATTGGCAATCTGCCGACTTGTCCTTCATCAATTCGTTGAGTTTCACTGCCGTGTGCATTTTGTGGACGTTATAACGGCGTTTTCGGCGTCGTTCCTCGCTATCGACTTCCAAAGTGCCATTTCCAGGTTTGTGATGCTGAATTGATAATCTAACATTCTAGAAATGAAAATTGAAATAAAAAGCGGACAAAAATCACGAAGAATGCCTACAATCTAGCAATGAATTCTTTCTGAGTGAAGTATTTCAAAACATCAGGTATTACGGAAGGTTAACCAAAATATTTTCATTCCTACGGGGGTTGATGGAAAAACTGTTTCGTTTTAGAGTTGATTTTGATTGCTTCCGTAAACGCAAAAATATTTTTGTTCATTGTACATTAATATTCTACATATTATTTTCTTGAAACCCAAAGCCATTTCCCATGAAGCACATATAGGGGTGTCACTCGTAACACAATAGTGAAATTACACACAACGCGCAACACCTCATGGCCACTATCGTAGAATTTAGATAAGCGTTTCGATTATTGAGTCACAATACCACTTGTACTTGTTTATACGTGTCTAAACTCGAAAAGAGGAGAAAAAACAAAAAAGTTTCTTGGGATTCGCAATTTTTAGCCAATATGTCGTGTGTTGACGTGCACGTTGTGCAGTACACGTGCTGAACAGACCATACAAAACTCACATCATTCAACTCCTCATCGCTAAAGCGCACTCCTTTATGCCCTATGCTAGCCGTCTTCTTCTCCTCAGTATCTTGCTCTTCTGCCACAACTTCTAGAGTCTTTTCAAGAGGGAGAATCTAAAAAAAATTTGTATAGTGAGAAATTGAATCCAAACATTAATTTTATTACCATTTCCTCTTCATTAATCTTGCTGAGCTTTCTTTCCCTTACGACATCCTCAATATGCGACTGTAGATCCTTTTCTCTGTCGGATTTATTCAGACTCTTTAGAAGTTTTGTTCTTTCTTCCATTTTCAGCGTTCTTTCATAGGTGTAATCAGAGATATCAGAGTCGGGCTGAAAAATATACACAAGTATTTCAGAAAAAAAGCAAAAAATAGATGAAACTTACCATTTCTATGACGTAGACTTGTGCTTCTATACGTAAATGATACAGGAATTTCTCAAGATCCGATTTCATTTGTACATTATTGTCCTGAAAAGAATTCAATGTACGGTAGGAGTACGGTATCACATCGAAAATATGCAAAGGCACAATAAGGTATGACCAACAACTAAGTTCTGTCATCCCACTAAAAAGCATCGAAAGCACTATTTCTATGGTTAATAATATTCAAACTTTGAAAAGCTGTTATAAGCAAATGAACACTAAAACACGATTTTTATCTAGACCTGTGCCTGTTGAAGCTTTTCTGCAGCTGTAGATAGGGATTGATCCTGATATGAGGAGAAATGAAGAATTAAAAAAAGACTGAGGAACCACAGTTTGTTTCAATTGCAGTGTCCCTTGTGCATGCGGCTATGCATCCGCAACGCGAGCGCCCTCTACTGACCATCGGTAATTGCCAGACTTATCCTGTCCAACCGGTTTCGGTTCACGGTTTACCCCATTCACTATTGGTCAGTTCACTGATTTGACCAATAGCGAATGAGTGAACCGGACGAAACGTTGAATCGAATTCTGGCACCTGCCTTCGATTAACGAGGCGATTTGACTGCTCAATTCAAACGCGCGCAAAGCCGTGCGAAACACACGCGAGGCGGCTGGCAGACCGAACAGGGACAGTACGACTGAGACAGACTATACATTGAAATGAGAGATCAAAAAGTTGAGAAATCTTAACTTCTGTCAAGAGCTAAAAACTTGACGTATATTTCTAAATTTCTTATTTCTCAATTCTTAAGTATTTATAGAGTGCTACTAAATTTTCTTATCAAAAATCGAAAAATATCTTTACCACCAACCTCTAATTGAGCAATGGCGAATAGCCTTATTACTGTATTCTTCCATGTTTTATGTTGCTTCAAAAGGAATGGTAGCAACATCAACAAACCACCATCGTGCACCACCCACCTGCAAAAAAATTATCAATTTTTACGAAAAAAAAACGAATGGCTCCAACTTCGTAGCGATATAGGAAAACTGCGCACTGCGGCGGCACGGTTTATAGAACCGCAGAGAGACAATGCGGATGGAAGAGACGCAGGCAGCTACAACCGCGACGCCGCAGCGATGCAAACGCTTTGTCTGCGCTAATCATTCCGCAACTTTATTGTGATTTTTCAGCCACCCTGTCAAAAAACCTTACCAGACATCGAGGTAACCGGACACCTTGGTATTGGATGCAGGGAATTGAGCGACATTCTTCGGGACAAGGATGGCGCACCTAAAAAAAGCACTTATCGATCGGTTTTGAGACACTTTCATTGATACAATTCAGTGAAAGAGGTATTCAATTTTATACAAATACCAGACAACGGGAAAAATAGTAAAATTTTCCATGCAAGTATAGAACCCTAAGAACGCTCTAAAAACATGAAGACTGTGTTTTCTCACTGCCCCAAACTTTTATAAAAACCTATTTTTGGAGCTTCAAAACTTCAAAATAAATTTATACGAAGTTCTTCGAGACTTTTCCTCACTTTGCAGCAGAAATAGCTCTCAGTGCATTAACGAACTGATGTCCGACATGCCATGAGTGTTCCGTGTTCCAGGATTCTGGCCATGATATCATTACGGTATTGTGTCGAAGTCCACCCAAACCGGAAGTCTAAAAAATATTCTTTGTCCTTTTTGCGCTGTTCTGCAACAATGTCGTCATTATAATCTTCTTGAAAGCAGCATCGCATTGTAAAAAAATCTTGTATAAAAGTTGTTACTTTCAAGTCGCATTTAGAAAAAGCGCAGAAGGTCTCCTACAATGCAAACGGTACTGCATAAATTCAAAAATGTTTAAAATGGCGCGTTTTCAGAAAAAGTTTGAAAATAGCAAGAAACTAACAAGTTTTTCCAGAAAATTATTCTTAAGTTTTTTTTTCAAATCGCAAATTTTTACCTGTACCAGACAGCTAACTCCCTCGATAAAATTTTCCGTTACTAGCACGTCCCCAAATCCTTTAATTTTGTTCTTCTTCAATAGCAAATCCAGGTTCTGCAAAGTAAAGAAGTTTTCTTCGTCGCCTCTCAGATAATTAATTCACGAGGGCTGATGGCGTCACAAACCTTTTGTTGAGCGGCAGCTTCGTCAGCATCTCGTGCAAAATCACCTTCAGTGCACATAGCGACTAATGTTAGACCCTGAAATGGGGTGATTTTTAGAAACTTCGCGATTTTTCAGTGTTTAGCTCAACTTTGTCACCATTGCATTTAAGGTTAAAAGAAAAGAACTAAATTTTTTCGAAAAAATAATTCCATCAACTTTGAAGTTGAAGGCACCCGCGCCCACGAAATGCAGACTTCTTTGGTGAATACTGACTGATTGGGAGGACTTGAATAAGCCATCACCCAAGTTAAAGCACATATAATTCACTCTTGAATGAGATATTCTACTCTAAACTCTCGTCCAATATCGTAGAACGCTCTGAGATTACGGTATCGGGCCTGAGTTCAAGCTAATATTTCTCGACTATAAATAAATCTTACGAGCTGCTGCTTAAACAAAGGCTTCATCAAATCCTACCAATCAGTTACACCCAGGGTTTAATTAGTATTTCACTTTTTTGGAACAACATCTCACCTTTCCAGCCTTCAGCTGACTGACGAAGGATAGAATACCATGTGTACTGGGAGAATCGGTATTCTCCAGTAGTACAAGTAGCTGAGGTCTCCAATTCCTACTATGTTGTGGTTTGTTGTCCAAATTCAACAGAGCAAACCTTAAAGGGCTCAATTTGTTATTAATTTTCCCGCCAAAACTTCCTTTAACAAACCTGGCTGCACTAAGGCCTAGACCACGCAGGCCATCTCCCCATTCTTTTTCGGCACCGGCATATTCAATGTACTTGTAGACAGCAGCACCGATGAAGATAGCAATTAGGGCAAAGTGCCAAGCTGAGATGAACATTACAGCAATGCACAGGAATGCCCCGAGTGAGGATAAGGTCCTGGAACGAAAGAATCATGTTATGGGTGATTTTATCAAGGGTGAGGTAAACCCATACCAATGAAAATATTTGAACGATGGCCGCCATCCAGGCGATTTGAGCAATGATTGTAGAGCACATGCAGTGTTCACACCCAAATAGCACATCAGGAAGAATCTAAAAATTGAAAATTGGTTTTTCGGCTATTTTTGAAGTTTCGCGTAAATAATGGTCCTAAACTTACTGGGTGATAAGAGCTGTGATATTCTCAATAACAGCGATGAGAATACCTAACCAACAGATGAGAATCGTGACGAAAATTGCACGAATCGGTTCACCACGGCTATCCATTTTACGGAATACACTCAGGAATGGAATTACATCATCTGAAAAAGAGTTATTATTTTTTTCGATCAAAATCGTTTTTTTTAAATAATAAGGTCTATTTCAGGGACAGGGTCTCTTTTGCGTGCAGCTACGCATCCGCAGCGCGAAGCCTCATTTCTTGAAATTCGATCGATAAGGTCTGCTGGCCATTTGAGTCGAACGCGCGCAAACGCCGCGCGGCCCAGACGCGAGGCGGATGTGCAGATCGAAAGCGGACATTATGATTGAGACGAATTGTTTTTGAGTTTTTGTAAGTTCAAACATGTTCAAGTTCTTTGTATGTGACCCTCCCCCCCCCCGCCAACTCCTTCTCCCTTTCTCCCCCTAATTTTGAAAAAAAATTACTCCCAACCTCTTATTTACTAATGTTACGATCTCTTTACAAACAGAAAGTGACAACTTGCTGACATTTAGCTGTCAACGACCCCTCTCAATCATTCGACCCCCCCCCCCCCTCCCTTTCACTATACGCTTGTCACAAATAGTTGAGTAGTTGAAACCCCCGATGAACGAATCCATTCAACGTAATCATGCGGCTACCGTACACCAACATAACATCCGTCAAAAGCGCCCGTAGTCAAAAACGCGCCAAATGTTGTTTTCCGGCACATTTGAGTGATGAAAGAAGTTGTTGAAAAATTCATGAATTGCATGTGTTGGACGCAAAACACACTAGTAAACAGCTAGTAACGTATTAGTAAAGTTGGTTGTTGGTTTTTTGTAGCAAATTGGTTGTAAATAAAATCCATACTAAGGTGGAATAGAGTGCAATGAATTGACACAACTATTGAAGTTTCAAAAAAGAGAAACCCTTTGCACGGATAAAAACATGGAAACCCGATTTGGGCAAAAAATTAGACAATGGACTGAGTACTTCCCCCTCCCTCCCCCTCCTCCCCCTCAATTCGCCTTCTAAACTTTTCAAGTAGACAGTTTAAAACTGATATTGCGCTTGAACTCTGTTTTTTGAAAATTTTCGCTGCTCGATATTTATTTTTCATCTCTTGACATATGAATTTTCCAAAAAAAAGCTTACCGGAAGCGATAGCTTGTAGTAGTCGAGGTGCTCCGGTCAACGATTGCATACCAGCTCCTATGGTGGCTCCAAGGCAGCCCCACTAAAAATATCAACAATAATACAATTAATTACAGTTATATGTTTTTTTGTCAAAGGAATGCCAAATAGTCCGAAAAAGCCTTGCTGCTGATGAATACAATCCTAATGTATTGCGATTTTGTGTTAGGCAAGGGACATACCTCACGCAATTTCAGTCGCCACGCGATCTGGCAATTTGCCAGATGTCTTCAAATTTAATACTGGTAGACCCCATGCACAGCATGTATAGCTTTCGTAGGTTGATAAAATGCCCCACCTTCCGTACATTCAGAAACCCCGTAGGATGAGTTATGAACATTTGGAGTATTGCCAAATCGCGTGGCGACTGAAATCGCGTGAGGTATGCCCGAGGCCTTAAACATGCAAGAATAGCTGTAAAGCGCGTTTGAGATGAGTTTCAAAAAAATCTCCTGGGATTCTAGCCCAGGCATTCATTGCCTAAACACGTTATGTTTTCCATAATCCCGGAAATTTTTTCTTGGTTTATGGGAAACATTTTAGCCATGCTTTCCAAGAAGAATGAGATGCTTTCTAAGGGGCAAGAGATGTCAAGAATTATCCCGAAAATGTTTTTGCGAAGTTTTTAATCCTCAACAATTGCCACTGCAAATTCTGCAATCATTAAGCGTCCCTCTACCGGTTCAGTTTTTCAAATCTAATTTATAAAACCCTCAAAGAGACGTTGTTAATTTCAAAATGCACTTTCTTTATGCAACATCCTCGATTTCTTTTCAAAGCCTCCTTCACGCTTTTTCCTAGAAAAATCTGGCGTCTCACTGCTATATTCAATTAGGAATGCCGTTGTGCACAATTACTAATGAACTCTTTTTGCACCGCTCGCAACGTCTGTTGCAGTGATGAACAAGGAGACAAAGAGAATGAAAAAATACAAAGAGAATGAAAAAATACTTACCAGAATGACTGTCGGAAATGGCCATGCTATCTCAGATATCGTCAGTTTTCCCATACCAGATTGCCCGTATTTATCCCGGATGAACATTTCGGACACAGATGAGCCGAAGACAATCACACCGCAAAAGTCTGAAGAAAAACATTGTAAAATGGCTTGAAAGTCGCAATAGGGTGTTTCTGACCCTTTTGCAGAGGATTAGGGGAGGTGTCCTGATATAATTTTTTATAAGAAAACCGTATAGCATAAATCAGCGGTTAAACTTTTTGTAAACATGCTTGTATGTTGTCTTACGCTTCCTGCCAACGTTAAAATTTCAGATACTAATCAGTTTTGGTTTTCTTATAAAATAATTCGAAAATGTATACTACAATCCCGGTATGGAGTTTGAAAATGCTTTTTGCAGGTATTTCGAGCTCAAGAAATTTTTTATGGTAAAATACATCTTCAATTGAAACTACCCTTGATGGTAGTTTGTCACTGGTTAGATAAAAGCTCTGCTGACGAGAATTAATTTTTTCAGAAAAAAACCCGTCAAAGCTGGTATTAACTTATTTTCCAAGTTAATGAGTTTGCCACAAAAATCATGTGTCAATTCATGCTTCTGAGTAAGAAAAAGAAACTTGCCACTCATACAGAAAAAAACAGAAAAAAGTTTTGCCCTGGGACTAGAGTTTCTGCAGCAGACATGCAAGTTTTTTCATCTCGGTTAAAAAATTTTTCCCGGAAATTGCATTTGCAAGGCATTCCATGGCTTGTTTGGTTTGGCGAAATATAACTCGAGGCCGACAAAAATGTGAAATTTGAGCAGTTTTTTTTCATGCTGAACTTGAAGGAAATTTTTCTTGAGTGAATTTCTGTTCATGAGGTTTCCCTTGCTAATGAATTCGAAAAATACACATAACCACTTTGACACATTGTTTTTTAGAAGACATTGCGTGCCAGCTAGAATTAATTTTAGATAGTAAAAACCTGAAGTAGACTTGATGGAGCTGTACACCAAAAAAGAACAAGAATCGGAAGTGTACATTTGATATTTTACAATTAAAATGATCGCATTACTTTTCAGACAGACTTTTTCATTTTTGTACACAAAATCTGAAATGAGTTATGCAATTTCAGCTACAAAAAGACCATTTTTTAACAATTCTCCCAAGTCAATTCCATTTCCACCACTTGCGACTTAATTTCTTTCTTCAAACCAACCATGATAATGGCTCGCAAATGCAATTTCCGAAAATCTGCTCGACGAGTCGAAAAACTATAATGGTTATGCGTCCCGTGACTTTAGAAGATATTTGCACAATTCCTTGCAAAATAGGAAAAAATAGAAAGAAAGCAAACAAAAAGGTTTTTGCATTTTTCTCGCTTTAGAAACATTTGACATTGAGTCTTGGGTTGTTGTAAATTTATTTAATCATTATTTGAGATTTTTTAGGGTCGAATAGAATATTTTCATGGAGAATACCGTCAATTACTCGTCGTGACTCCCCCCCCCCCCTCCCTGTTATCGTCTTTCAAATAGTAGATCTGCTGATCTTTTGATAGCTTGAAAACCGGATTTTTTTTGTCTTACTCGTTGCAGAAAAATACTTGCATCAGATTTTACTGCGGAATTTTTTTTCACGAAAATCAGCAAAAAATTTCCTGTTTCAAAATTCAGAACAGAATCTGTATCAAATTCTAATACAAATTTCCCTGCTTCAAAAATCGACGCAGAATTCCCTGTATCATAATGAGCAATTAGGTGTTGTACTGAAAGGTTAATAGTTGACTTACACACGAGACTTGTTGATATCTGAGCTGCTAGGGTCCCAAGTGGAATCGATTTCGACGCGTCACGAAGATTTCCAGATCGGTTTGAGCCGGCCATAATTCCTAAAATAAAAATTAGATATTTTGAAAAAACTTGGCACAACTGATTCCTAGAAATTTGGGGGTCACGGCATTACCTAAAAAAATATGATCAATGACCATTCTTGATTTTTGAATATGTAAGTGATACTTTATTTCTTTGAATTTTGCCCTAATAAAAACTTCTACTGAACGATGATTATCATCCCTTCATCCGAGAGTATAACCCTTGGGAGTTTCATGGCGAAAGCCAATTTTCGTGCAATGATTGGCTGTCACACGCAGATTTCTCTGTCGTTCACATTATTCTTCGGGTATATATGACTAAAAATCAACGTTAGGACAAGGAAGTGCAAAAAAACGCTGTAGTCCGACTTGGCTAATTTTTAAAGACAAACAGCTTTCAGAATCTTGAAAAATTGGGTGTAAAGGAGGAAGGGAGCAAAATCTCGCATAATTTTATCCAAGTATGTACACATCTATCTATCAAATATATATCGATCAACATCCTGGTAGGGCCGTGTTCTACCCTCATGCGCCCGATCGGGAGCCTTCGCGTGATCGGGCGCGCACCTGATCTTGGGAGATGGATGAGTGCCGCACCGGGTAGAATGAACCCTTCCCAGGACAGTCAAAAGTCCAACTTTTTGAAATAACTCTACCTTACTCAGTGTAGATATTTCGCTTTTCAATGCTTTCCCCCTCCCTCTCCTTCTTTGAACCTGCTGCCCTCATTTCTGCAAAGTTGCTCTTCATTTCTTCACGAGACAATTTTCGCATAGCTCAGCTGCGATTGAATTAACATAGAGCCCTGAGGGCGCTTACCAGCCAACCTCCCATCGTCAACAACATATTTCAGCCTGCGGCGGCTGCTGTGAAAACTTTGAGCTGCACCGAACAATCCTCAAGCACACTTATATGAGTCGTAAGAACCGTTTTGGGAAGACTTTCTAATTTGCAGCATTCGTATTCCTTGAACATTGCATGCGGGAAATTACAGCCATATAACTGAAGTTTGAAACAGGAAAGTTTGGAATGGCAAATGCGTTTAGGTAGTCAGGAAAATATGAGAACTGGAGTGGGGGCACGAACTCCGCCAGTTTTGAGCCGCTTCCGCTGACAACTGATCCTTTTGCAATGTTGTTACATGTCGTTGCAGGACCAGTAGTCCGCGGAGGCGGTATTTCCCACCTTTTCGCTTAGCTCATGGGATTCTTTAAAAATCGTTCGAAAAATTCTTCCTCTGGAGAAGCATTAAGTTTTCAATACCTCCTCATAGAATTGCAGCTATTCATATGTATAGCGTGTAAAACAGGAACAAGGCAAATTTCATTTTAAAATAAAGACCAATCCCAAATTGCCAAAAAAATTTCCTTTCTGCGTATGTCCATTTTTTCTCGATTACAGGTTTACAAAGAATAATTATTTGAAAGGATTTCTTGCCGGGTTGTACTAGCAAAAAAAAATCATTTGAAAAATTTTAGCCTCTCATATTTCCAATTAAAATAAATCCAAAATTGCACTCCCACAATTTCACACACAGTGTATGAGTATTGATCCCAAATTTTTCAAAGGGAAGAAAAATAGGGATATTTCAATCCGAACTTTCAAAAAAAAAACGAAAGGAAAAAACTACTTATGAGTTTTTGTCCAGGGTTATAGTAGCAAACGAAAATGTTCGAAAAAATTTTTGCCTTTTATATTTTTAGTGGAAAAAATTCAAAATTGAGTTTTTCACACATATATAGAAATTAGGTAATCGCGGATTTTCTTTACGGGGGAGGAAAAAGAAAAATAGGCCGATTTTTTCATAAGGATATGTTGGATGACATTCAAAAATAGCAGCTTGAGATTTCACAGAATAAGAAAATGCAGTCCAGATTTTTCACCGATAGGCAAATGTGCGAGTAATTATTTACAAACTGATATTTGCTATTGTTTTGACTTTTTTGTTTAGAGAATTTGGGACTCGCAAATGGTTGATATTTCCAGCTTTTTCACATGTCAACGGAGAAATCTAGAAATTGCAATCCAGATTTTTCCACAGAGTGAAAAGGCGATAAGAAATCACGAAATTGCAGCCCGACTTTCCAAAAGATAGGCAGGATAGTTAGGTTTGGGGTATGAATGGTAAATTCTTCCACAGAGTAAAAAAAAAATTAAGCTTTTTCGAGCAAGTTTCTTTTTACAACATAAATTTACCGATACCTTTCCCTTTCCCCCTCCCCATTCTTCCCTCATTTTCGTTTCCCCAACTCATCTCTTTCGCAGCAGTCTATGCACTTTAAGCTGTTTTGCATCTTTTTGAAAATCCACGATGATTTAGTGCAGAAGCTGAACAAATCGAATTTGACTGCTTTACCACCAATAGCAGCAGAATGCGTCGTTGTTGTTTCTTTCTTGAGTTAAGAAAGTGCAAAGTGAAAAATTTTATTATGCAAAGGAACAATACGCGACGTAGGGAAAGCGCCAGACATGACAAATCTTTTTGAGCCTCTACTCCCTCCCCCCCCCCCCGTGCTAGAAATTAGGTTCCAAGTATGAGGTTCGGCCAGCTCAATCCAACGCAGCAAATGTTTTTAGACCTATAATCAAAGCCTCAGGCAATTTATGGCCGTAAAACACAAACCCAAACTTTTTGTGAAATGTGCGATTGCAGAATTGAATTGCTGTTACCGTAACCCTTATTTCAATTGCTTCATAGGCTTAGCTTTGAATACATGCGATGAACATAAGAAGTATCATTACGACTAGCTATTAAAGTTGACTATGGCATTTTGAAAGCGGGAAAAGGCTTGGAAATTTTCATTCTAGTTTATTTTAGTTTCGAAAATGGCCGGAGCATTGAAATCATCAAAAAGTGTAAAAAAATTTACCAGTCGCAGATGGGAAGAACACGCCAATGAGAATCATGAAAGATGTTGTCGAGTCGGAAAAGATGTAGTAGCCGGTAGATCGTTGTCGATCACTTCGATCCTGAAATTCGAAATATTGTCGCTCATATCACAAGAATAGCAAAAATTGATCAATAATTCGATAATATGGATTTACACAGAAATTAGAGAGCTCAGACTAGCAAAGATATGCCATGAACCCAGCTCTATGATGAAATTGGTTGCTAACATTTGTAGAATCCAATATGAGTTTACCATATTGATCATATTAGTACAGACTACAGTAACCTAACAGTATTTCAACAAAGTAACGCTGGTAAACTATTAATTTTTGGCTAAGAATTCAAGAAAAAATTGGCCCTTGATTAACTGCAGCCAGACCATCTTTTTTTGATTGGCGAAGCATGTCTGAGTCATAATTACAGTAATCTTACAGTACATAGCCTCTTACGGTAATTTCTAGCCCCTCGATATAATGTGTTTGTTCAGTACCAATTTTCTGGTCATTAAATCCATCAAAACTTTCATGTTGTTGATTTCAGGCTACATTGCAAAATTATCACATTATCAGGCTACACTAGCCCTACCGTAACGATACAGTCGATTGATACAGTAATACCTCCCCTACATACGCTTTGAGCTTTACGAACTTGGCGACTCAAACCATCGAAGATATTATCTTACTAATCTTTGCAAACTACCACGCTTTGAAACTACAGTAACCCTACAATAACCCTACACTACAATAGCCCAAAAAAGTTATGTCTTATACTCGATACAATACGAGTTCAGCTTCTTAAATTCGGTCATTAAAAAATCAAAAAATGCTAAATTCAGTCATTTTTGGCTGCCAAACCAAATCATCACATTTTCTTCCCAGACTACACTAACCTTACAGTAACCCAGTAAGTAATCTCTTACCCTTGGATCCTTCGACAGCACATCACCAGCTCGAACATGTTTTGGCCACAAGTTGTCGAAAAACACTCCGCTACCCATTCCTTTGATGGCACGCTGCAAATAGGATTTTATTGGTTTCAAATTTTCATTTTTTATGTATTTTTTCAAATTTTATGCCCCTGTCTGTATACACATAGCTAACCGATGCCGTCATCTTTAATGGAATAGAGAAGAGTTCTCTTCCCATTACACATGCATTAAGCTGCGCAAGCAAAAGTTAGAAAAAACGCTATCCTTGCGCCGGAGAACAACGTAGGTCAATTTCCTTCCATAAAGCTCTTGTCATGGATCAGAATGATAAAGCGGAAATTGATAGCTATGTACGTCAGTGGAGGAAGTAGACTTGGGGGCAAAGATTAATCTATATAATGGTTTGCAGAGTGCTTTAATGCTCATAAAATTATTTGCAGATTTTGACTTTTTGCAGGCTTAAGATTTTGGAAAAAAGCTGCAAAAGGCAAGGCATAGAAAGAAATTGCAAACAGAAAGTGCTAGAAAATGATTAAATTTCATTCGAAAATCTATATCACCACATGGATTTGTTAGACATTCACAAATTGTACATAAATAACTTCTTTCTTTTATTATTTCTTTCAAAAAGAATGTTTCATTTGATAATGGCCATGTTATAGCAATATATTTTTGGTTATATAAAAAAATGGAAAGAAAATGCTGAATTTGAGAGATAAGAATCTGTTAGTGGAAGGTGTTATAAGAAAGGAGTGATAAAAATTTGGAGCTAAAAATCTATTTCACAACCTCTAGATGCTTACATATATACAGCACTAATGGATTTTGTAAATTGTATATAAACTGTTTTAGTGTATATTTTTATTATTATTATTATCATATTTTTCCTACACACTCTTGTTTCTTCTGGCAGCAGGTCCAAGGAAACGGAACGAAAAAAAATTTGCGGGCTCCCAAAATTTCAACTGTTAGTCGATGTGTGGCAAAGTATTTATGTTAGTTTTGCAGCAACTTTTGTTAGTTTAATTTTTTGGATTATTTTTTAGCTGAGCTTATATCCAGCAACTCAGGATGCTAGAGCACATGTTATGTAGGTGCACAAAAATAAAACAAAAAACTCATAGATGAAAGAAACTTATAAATAGCACCCGGATTCCCAAAAAACGGGACGTAATTTTGATAGTTTCCCGTAAAACTCCGTTAATCTATCTATTTAATATTTTATCGCCACTATTATAATTTCATTTAGCACTTCATTCATTGATAGTCCATCTATACTTTGAGTAAAACTTTCCCGCTTGACTTGATGTTACCCTTAGGGACCCGTCATATTTTGCCGAGAAAAGCCCAAAACCGTCCAAAAAGCCCAAAAAAGACCAAAAAAAGCCCGAAGAAGCCCAAAAGCGCCGGAACGCAGAAACGAACTCTTGGTAGAATTACGACATTATTTTGATGTGCAGACGACAGAAAATCAAGCTAAAAGACTCGGTTGCGAAATCAGCACACATGGCTCAGCGTCAAAACAGATGGAACATTTCGGCTCTTTTGGGTTCTTGAGCTCTTTCGGGTTTTTGGGCTTTTTCGGGCTTTTCTGGGATTTTTTGGGTTTTTTTCGGGCTTTTTGGGCTTTTTTCGACGAAGTATGACGGGTCCCTTAAATAGACTTGTTGATCCCCTTACAAATGCCCACAAATGATTGACGGCATCAAATGTGGTCTCGGATTTCAAGCCGCGAAGATGATCGCTGCTGAAATTGATACCGGCTGGCGACAAATGTTTTTTCACGTCGCATGTGGGATTAGTTGCTGTGATTGCTAGGATAAAAGGAAGACAACAATCTGACAAATACATGTTAGAAATGGAAAACGAAAAATACAAAAATAAAAAAAAAGTTTGGATAAAATGTAAGAATAAACTGAAAATGCTGTTCTCTTGTCATCACAACTCTATCAGAGATTGGATTGAAACGCAGGAAAAACACCTTGGGAGTTGAAAACAAGGAAGTTAACTTAGAGTTGAAACGGGAAATATATAAAATAATTTAGACTTAAAATTTCGAAAATGTTTTGGCGGAGGTACTCGTGAGAAAATTACTTGAATTCAAAACATAGGAATAATCAAGCCTTGAGACGTAAAAGTAATATTTGATGTTGAAATTTGAAAAGAATTTTCTGTGACTACATAAATATTTGGCACAATAAAATTCTAAAAATTGAGGTAAAGTACAATGTCAATGTACATGACCTCAATTTTTAGAATGTTCTACATGTCAATTTTTTCCTTGATGTAGCGCAATGTCTGCATTTACACACCACTTGGCACTTTGAATTTGATATTGTTTTGAAAGCAGTAAACTTTTCAATAACTGCATCCCGCTCTTCATTTCTTGTTTTTATTGTCTAGTATGCCGTAAGAACCAACTCGGTTGCAAGCAATCCATTGAACTAGTATCGTTGAAACGGGAAATTTAGTTGATTTTGTCAAAGAAAATTCTCTTCAGAAAATTTGTAACTTTGAAAAATGCAATAAATTGAAGAAAACTGCATCAAAATGGTTTTAGCGAAAGGGATAAATTCAGTTCGAGTAAAAAATTTTTGTAGAAATATTCGTGACCTGAAGCAAAAAAATGGACAAAAAATAGAAAGATAAAATAGCAGCGACAACATTATAAAATCATGCATATGTTTACCACTATGCAGCATATGATTGATTCTTTTCCACCCCCTCCCTCCTTTGCTTCCAATTTTTCTCTCCCCCCTTTTTTTCCGCGCATTTCTTGTGACTTTCGCGTAAACTTTTATGGGCAGACTCACGTGGTTATGTACATATTTGCACAATCCCTTACAGCCATCAAACCTTTCGCGTCACGATAAGAGCAATGCGATTACAATCAGTCCATGCTCTTGCTTGCAAAGAGCAACACTCGTGCATGGCTTTAGAGCTGCTTTTTATGGGCACGGAGGCAATTTCGGATTTTTTGTTGAAAGTGGTTAAATAAATAATTCGAGACATGACGTCAAACACTTTAGGCTTTCGAAGCAAAGCTTTGACCTTGGAAAGTTGGGTTTTTTAAAACAATTTCCAAAATCACAGAAATTTGGATTTTCAAGAAGTTTCGCACCGGAAAAGAAGAAAAAAAATAATACAAGTCATGACGTCAAGAATACATGCATACTGTCCATTCAAAAGAGCGCTGGAGTCTTGAGAAGAAGTAATTTCTATAAGAAGTTGAATAATTTCAGTCATAGAACAGTCTTTGGAGAATTTCATCACGCAATAAAATGAATTTGAAAAATATGTATAAAAAACTACAATTCCACAGATTTTTCCTGAAAACAATGCTACAAAAAGTTCTGAACATCTAGAAATATTTTTCTGTAAAACAATTTCAGTTTTGTAGGTTTGAATACATTTTAATAATTTACAACCAAATCAGAAATTAGTCATTTTTTTGACTCATGTAGATCAAAATTCGTATCTCCCCCCCCCTTCCCCGGCAACTTTAGATAAAGGAATAATCCATACTAACGCGCACATCGTATTTTACATCTTGTTGTTTTTGTTCTCATACTATTTTCCAATTCATATTCAAATTTTTCACACATCGTAGGTCACAAGGTCAGAGTATAGAGGTTACCAGTCTAATTAGAGGACCATGCAATTGCATAGCTTAATTAATTGAATTATTAATTTTTCGCGGGTCAAAGATAGCAGCTCGAAGACATACGACCCGAATTGTGGGTTGCCGAATAATTCACCAAATTTATTCCCTAATCAAATGAATAATAAATTTTTCGGGGTTAAAGACGGCATCTTCAAAAGAAATTTTTCTACTTTCTTTTTTCCTTTAGAGTTTATTGTGTTTTTCCTTTGGCGGCATCCTTCCCCAATTCCCACATAAACCAAGCAAAAACTCGGTCACGAAGATTTCGTGCACCCCTTCCCTCAACGGCAATTTGTCAGCTGTTGCGTATGCAATGGATCAGTGAACAACTGCTCAACATAGCGCAAGACCAAAGAACATCGTAAGGAGGAAAAGCGGAGAAGAATATACGATGAGGAAGGAGCACGTGGCTGGAGGTGAAACGGGAATTTCCTGGCTGGAATGTCTATTTACCTACTTGCTTGGTTTTTTCTTGGAAGAAATTATTTTGATAAATCTTTCACAAAACGGAAAGTGAATTTGATTGGGAAAGTCGCATACAAATACGATTTTACATTCTACAGAACAGCGCTAATTTTGTGATTACGATAGGAATACGGTAGCTGCCAAATTGCGTAATTCAATATTTTATCGAAATTAGTTTTTTCAGAGAATATTGCTTAAATAATATTATTACCAATAGCTGTGCTGAAGAACTCTCATAAAGAAGTTTCGAGCAAACTCAAATTCTTGGCACATACCGTACTGCTATCGTAACCCAGGAAATTTCACTACCACGAAAATTACTATGGCATCGCGTAAGCAGCGTGCCATAGAGTTTGGACGAATAAGATAAATAAACATTGGATGAGGAAGGCAGCAAATAAACAGCTTTTTTGTTTCCACAGGATGGCGCCATTTTCTGAGGTTACGGTGGGTGTACAGTACCAAAAATTTACAGAATTGTAGGTCAACTACAACAGTACCAAAATATCTGTTATCTTAAACGTAACAAATGTTCTTAACTCAAAATTTTTAAAACCAGAAAAAAACTTACCTCGAGTCGAATTGCCGGTAAATTGCTACCTCGCCATACTTTAACGTTCTTCACTCGATCATAGTATGGATCACATGTGCCATTGTCCGCGCAGAATAACGGTCGTAGTCCGTCTGCAGTACAATTCGGCCGTATATGCGTCGATTCATAGTAATTTGTCACGTCAACTGGTCGATCACCCATCATACAAAATCTAGAAAATAAGATAAGCTAAATCAAAATGAGGCGCACTTTAGTACAGATTGACACTTACTGAAGCTGATCACTTCCGTTGAATCGCACGAAAGACCCGAGGAAAGCAGAAAATATACAGAATAATACGACGAACACGAGCGGCAAGGCGAATTTGTTGACAACCTTAAAAAATCAAAATTTTTCGACTCTCAGCATATAAAGATCAGCAGAAAAAGCGAAATAGTTGAAGTATGACAAAAGTGTGGGAGCTTACCTTCACTCCGGCTAAGACTATCAACGAGACCCCGAATAATATAGCGGAACCAAACAACCGGAAATTATTGTAGATACTTTCGAAAAGTTTCGCTTCCGGCATGATGTAGAGCTGAAAATGGTAAAGATATGAGTGAAATTAGCAAGATGCTAAAAACTAGCTTTTTGTCAATTTCGAAAAATTTGTTCATTTTGTTGCATTTAGATAACACAAATCTGCGCTCTCACTCAAGGTCACCCCACAATGAGCGCGTTCCGTAGATCAACTGCAAAAATATACCTTTTATGAAACAGCAATTATGATAGCAACGCAAACAATATGCTATTTTATCCTAGTAAAGAAAATTTCAGGTGGATTAAAATCAATTTTAGTTAGTTGCATTATAGTTAGAATTAGTTTGGTTCTTTCCCTTTGTTCTAGTTCAATTTTGGTATTCTAGAAATTCCTTTTTTTTTTCGTAGAAAATTCTTTGAACAGTGTAACTGAAAAAGAGATTTGAAAAAGGTGATAATTTTTAGTAAGAAGCATTTGTGAACTTTTTAGCTAAAAAAAACACTTCTGGTGGATAATCGAGCCGCTGCTTTTCCCTTTATTATTTTTTCTTATTTCTAAGATTTTCTGAATAAATTCATCAAAACATTCGTTTCCTGACTGTAGTTTGAAGCTTCAAATATGGGTGTCAATACACTAAAAAAATTTCAAATTCTGAAATACATTCTTGGAATGGATATTTTGCTTCTTCAGTCTCAATTAATAGAATTTAAGTGTAGAAATTTTTTTAATCTTTAAAATAAGCAAAATTCAGAGATGACGATATATTTCCGCTTCATCGTATTCATATATGCTCTACAGTGCGAAGCACTAAGTGGTCGAACAAACTGATCACAGCGCAAATGTGGGTTTTTGAAGTAGAAAATGCATGTTATAACTTTTGTCACAGTTGAAAAAGAAGAAATTATGAAGTTACTCATTCAAAATTCAAGATTTTAGCATGCAGCTTTTAAGATGATTCCCCGCTTTTTTGGCTACTACCACTTCTGTTTTCGTACTCAAGTAGGAAATCATCTCATAATTCATCCCTTCGCTCTTATTTTCGCTCATCTGCTGTTGTTTTGACGATGAAGCAGTAGCTAGCTCTGTAAAGTGTCGAAAACAGCCGTCGGCCTTCACAACTGATGAGCACTCGACCCGTTGAGAGTAGTTAGAGCTTTTCAGCTGGTGATTTTGCACAGAAAAATCCGAAGTCAGGATTTTATTCGGGTGCAAAAGTGCCCTCAAAAAATTGGCAAAGTGCCAAAAAATCAAAATTGTACTTACCAAGAAAATTTCAACAGCACCAGTGAGGTACATAGATGCGGCTATGGTTGTACCGAGATAGAAAAGAATTCCAACAGCACCACCAAGTTCTGGGCCAAGATTGCGAGAGATCATATAGTATGGCCCCCCGCCAGATACCACCCCGTTTGTGGCTATTGCTGAGAGTGAAATAGCTGTCAGGAAGGTCTGAAAAAAATAACTGAAATTCAAAACAAATTTGTCCAACATGGAGCAAAAATTTAGGAAATTTTTAACGCTAAAAATTTTTGAAAAATACCAACTTACCACAGAAGTACAAGTAAGGACAACGAAAAACGATTGAACAATTCCAGCAGTACCAACAATCCATGTCATACGAATGAAGAATAATACACCGAAGATATTTTGAATACATGGGAAGAATACGCCCATAACCGTGCCCATTTTTGTTGCCTAAAAAAGGAAAATTTGAAAAATATATTTGAATTAGAATCTCTGCAATTATAACAGAATGTTTTGTATCTTTTGTTCAAAGATACATTTTTACACGTTCAATCTTTGTATTTCAGAGAAGGCCAGAAAAAAATTTATAAATAAAAATTATCCCAACTTTCCGAAATTCAACGTAAATTCTATTTGTAAACTGTACATTCAATCGTATGTTATCAATCAGGCAGTATTTTTGGAGTTTTTCTATTTTAGGAAAAATTTCCTGTTTCACATAGAATACATATTGACGATGTTGTGGAGCCCCATGATAAAGAACTAAACGGTACAGGAAATTGTCCACACTACCTCTCGAGTAATAGACCACCTTCCCCACGCTGAGATCGTTCAAACAATATTGGCAATTTTTTCGAAAGGCGAAAGAATTGATCAAATTTTTCTGGGTTACGAAAATTTTCCTCTTTCAGATAAGATACTTACAAGCGAACACAAACAGATCACCTAGTAATTCAAAGTCAAACTGGGTTGCTTTATTTTTCGAAAATTTTTAAACTACCAATAAGTTCATAACCGAGCCTAAATTTTACGAAATTAATTTTCGAATGATACTGCAACATCAGTCTAAGTACTATTGGTCTTAACGTGACTGTAGGAAATTATTTGCAAATTTTTTTGATTTAGCAAAAAATTCCTGTTTCACAGGGACTACTCAAACGCATGTGGTGGGAGTTTGTGATACACAGTTCTGCTTTGCTGTGATATGCTGCTTGTGTCTCAAATTGGTCACTTGGTGGTAAAGATTACTTACTAAGCGTGGTTTTCATGATATATGAAAAAATTCTGTTTCATGCAGGCTATTTAAGCGCATGAGCTACCAGGATCATTGGTTAGAAGCTAATTGGTGCAGAGAAGTTCCCTTTTCACATAAGCCAATCAAAGGCATACCCTACTGTCTGTGACTTTTAGATATAAATTTCCTGTTTCGCGTATATCACTTAATGACAGTCCCACTTCTTTCAACAATTCATTCCCTTTGGTTTCCGCCAGCTTTATAACCCCTCAAGCTTATTTTGAACCCAAAGTCTCCACGTTCCACGGGGCCTCGTACGCACGACTTTCGAGCACACGAGGCAATTGGGTTGTACGTTGTCGTCGTCGGCATTTGTGCGCGAGCAATTCGCTTATGGCCGAAAACGACGCTTGACACGCAAATCTACTCTCTATTCTTTGCATTTGAATGAGTTGAAAGGCGAAAGAAATGCTTTGCCAGCGTAAGGGCCAATTTTTGGCTGGAAAACGCGTCATGGAGGTTAAAAAAAACATGGAAAAACCTCAAGCATGACGTTTTCATAGCAGAAACTGCTTTGCTTATTTGTACTCAGGTTTATTTTTGGCACAATGCCAAAACTCAATTCAATAACTTTTCTATACATTTTGGTGAGTCGATAAGTGGCAATGTGACTAATCTCAAAAGGAAATGACCTGCTTAGGTTTTTCATCCGCTTCTTCGGAAGTCGGCTCGGTGGCATTATAAACCGAAAGTTTCCGCAACATTTGTCCAATTTTCTGTCCTTGAGTGTCATAATCGGCCTAAAAAAATTATTATAAATTTTCATATAATCGAAATACTGATAATGAGTACTAAGGTGTGAAAAAGGATAAAAAATAAAAGAAAAAACGAAAACTGAATGCAAAAAATTGACAAGAAGTATAACTTTCCCTTACGACTTTTTCATAAATCCTTATCCTCTATTTTTTTGGGTGAGGGAGGGGGGAACGAAGGAGAGGAAGCCAGTAGCCACCTTCCAAAAATGTGCTTTTTCCAGATTTTTTGTAAGCTTATACCCAAAGATTTTACAAACAGGTGCTAAATTTTTTAAAAACCGATCAAAGATTTACAGAGTCATAATTACTTCAATCACTTGATATAAGTAACAGCAAGTTACTGGGACAATTTTGTAGATTATGAAGACCGCTTTCAGGTTCAAAAAATCTAAAAATAGCGCGAATTCCTTTTCAAAGGAAATGGGGGGGGGAGGTTTGCTTCATTTTTGCATCTAACAGCTCTATGCTATACCCAAATACCATAACTGCTTAATTCATTATTCTAAAAGCCTTAGATCCTCCCCTCCCCTCCCCCAGCGACCTCTCAAATATTTTCCCTTCCCCCATTTCACTGACTACAAACTTTTTCGAACGCTAGCTTTCTTTGCTCCACTTGCTCAGAATGCATTCCGTGCACTAAGCCCTTCAGCTTTCGCCGCGAGTTCTAAACTGGCCCAAGTGGGGCCGAGGATTTGCATACGTGCGTGAGTTGGCAAAATAAGCAATTTGCTTAGCTTATTCTATGGTCTCCCAGAAGAGAAGGGAATTTGCATAGTGAATAGGCTTTATTGCGGAAAATAGATTGAATTTGGAATATATAGACGTTTTCCTAAGCTGCTAACGACTCTCAACTTTGAAACAGCAATGAACCGAATCTCTTAGTAAAATAGTAACAGCAGATGAAGCCATACTAAAACAGGAAACTCTTATCTCAAAGAATTTTCTCCTACGAATAAAGTATTAAACCAGATAAATGCGTTTATAGCCACGAATTATTGATTTATTGATCTGTCACAGGCAGCCATTGATTTATCATGTTGAGGTTGCTTCAAAAAAATGTAAACGACTAAAAGCAAACGAATCCTTCCTTTCACAACCAATTATTTTCCTCAAAGACATTCTTTCTTTATAAAATTTCTTAAATCCTTTTATTTGAAAGAATAATTGTTTTTCATTTGCTAGAAGTTCAGCTAGGCTGTACGGTAACTGATTAAAGTGTGAAAATATCGGATTATCTGGTGTAACTTGAGCACGAAGCTTCAAAAATGTAAACAACCATCATCCTCTCTAATTAAGATTGTGAGAAATTTGATATAAAAATGAACACATTTTTGGCTTGAGAGGGTAAAAACTTGCGAATAATGGAAAAGAGCTGCCGCTTTACTCAGGAAATTTCTATACTTCAAAAATACGAAGATTTGCCTTTACATTCAAGAAAAGTGAGAATTTGGGAAAATTGGGAAAGTTTGCACTTCGCTCGAGAAACTTCCAAAAAGATGAAGAGAAGTGGAATGAGTTTGCCTATTCGCTTTGAAAATTTTGAAAATTGGTAGTATTTAATAGAGAAATAGGAAATATAGAGAAAAGGATATACAGGGTGTCCCAAAAAAATGTATCGAACGTTTGATCGTTAATATCTCTCTTCTAAAGAAGTCTTTTCTCTTGCTTCAGGTACCAATCTGTAGAGCTGGCTTCAACTTAGATTTGCATTATAGAACGAATCACTCTTCTCTTCATTACTGTAGGAGTACGGTAGAAACTTCAAAAAGGATTTTAAGCAACAAAAGGACATATTTTGCCTTAGAAAAGAAACAAAACAACCTGAAAGCTATTACACTAGGCTAATTAGAGTTGCTGATTATAACTGTAAAGTTCCCAACTTATCATGATGCTTCATTGAAGAGGCCAGGTAAGAGGCTATTTTTTCCAATGTTCCTAAAAAGTGCGGTTACACCGTTTATAAAGCTTCTAATCATGTGAATAGTTGAGTATTGAACTCAGCGTCCATAAAAACCCTATTACACAAGTTTTCACATTTTCTGAAAAATTTTGAAACGGCAGCTTTTTCCACATTGACACCATATGTTTCATGTTTCTACCATATTCCTACAATAATGAAGAGAGGTGGGTGATTCGTTCTGTACTGCAAATCTAAGTTGAAGCCAGCTCTACAAAATGGTACCTGAAGCAAGGCAAAAGACTTTCTGGGAAAAGAGATATTAACGTTCAAACAGTGTATACATACTTTACGGACACCCTGTATATATGTCCCCTGATTGAAAATATGTGGAAAACTGGTAAGAGGTAAGAAAAATTTGCTCCCTATTTGAAAATATTGGAAACTGGCGCAAATTGAAAATCACTTTGCCTTTCACTAAGTTGTAAACTGTAGTAGGAAGGAATTTGCCCCCTTATGTGAAAAAAAATGTTGAGAAAATTGGTAAGCAGTAGGAATAAATTTGCAGAAAGTGAGAATAAATTTGCCGTTTCAAATTTTGAAATTTTTTCGATTTAAATATTCTATAATAACAATATGACTGATGAGTCAAATTTATTTTAGCTCCCCTTTCAACCCCACATTCGCAAAGGCTCTAAATCTTGCAGAATCTGCAACCTTTCCCCTCAGGCGCCGCCGAATTTGCTCCCTGTGCCCCATTACCTCCATTCATGGCGCTTGTCCCAATCAACAACTCGGCCGGATGTCCGTTTTTTATTATTATTGCACTCGAATTCTCTGTGTGATGACGTTGGAGCCTAGGCGCTGCACATGCGCTGTGTTGACACTTAGAAGAAATGGCAACAGAATTTCCGAAAGTTTGCAAGGAGCGAAGAAATTTCGGGAAACAGTTTTTCAGAAAAAGTAAAGTGGCTTTAAATTTTATTGAATACCAATGCAGAGCTATTTTTGTGGCTTTTTTAAAAGTGGCTATAGAACCGAGCTTTGCAAATGTAAGGAATGTGCTGAACAGGGGATATTTGCAGGGTCGATATTTAATGTAAAAGCAGTAGGGATTATAGGGTTTATCAATTTTTAGTTACAGAAAATTCTTGTTAAAAGATTGATAAATTACTGATTTCCAGTAGATTTGTCTGTTTCATTATGTTTCTTGAATATTCATGGTAAAAACTCGTGTATAATGAAATTATAAGAAACCGCCTTTTTACTTTTTTTTCTCTAAAGAGTCGGACAGTTTTCATAAATAATCAGTCAAACTTCATTTCTTCGGATCAAAGCCAAAAAAGTTTCCTGCTTCATAAGCGAAAACCAAATCCATTGGTATCCGTATTACAGCATCAAAGCAGATTGTTCCTGGCAACACTTTTTGAAGATAAAGCTAATTAGTAGATATGTAGCAAGAAAGGACAAAAAACTCAAGAAAGTTCCTTGTTATCAAAGTGCATATCAATTACTATTACATATCCCCAACAGCTGTTTCACTTGTTTACATTAATGCTGAACTTCGCGGAGCATAAAATTCTTGTTCAACAGTTTATTGATTCAAATCGAACTTATGCGCGCAGTTTTTCAACGAAAAAGAAAATTGTAGTGGATTCAAAAAAGGAGAAAATGAACGTCAATTTATGATTGAAGTAATCTATTTTCGCTTTTTTCAAAAATCTCAAATTCATATCAGCATGCAAAAACAGATTTCAACGAAATTACAACAAGTAAAAAAATTCTATGTCATTCATCTTGCATTGTTATTCAATATGCGTAGTTCCCAATTAATATTCGTTTGTTTCGCAAATTTGAAACAAAATCAAATAATTTTGAATTCTCAGCGAACGTTAAATTTTTTGCCATTTATTTGATACTATACAATTCAGTTCTACTCTGTAAAAAAATTTCTGTTTCAAATTTGCTTTAATAGCGGTCACCAATCTGTATACTCGTTTGGTTGTAAACTCGAAATTGCCTTAACAACTGTCTCAAGTTTAATGAAAAGATTCCTGTTTCAGTATTGCTTTGATACCGGATTTTACTAACAAGGGAACCGTGTCGAGTCGAAGTGGCCTTTCCAGATGAGGCCCATACTGCTTTGAAGAGCATTAATCGGTGATTCCAAATCTGCTTTCCAAATCTGCCAAGCGCCTCTGGACGCCGAGTTGTGCTCGTTTTTCAGGTCAAAAAATTGAACGCAAAACTGAAGCAAAATCGCCCAAATTTGCTCAAATGGTCCAGTGTCAAGTATCAGAGCTGTTTATGCAATGGATACATTTTATTTGATATGCTAATTCCTGACATTGCTTTATCTGATCGCTGGAAAGGTTGTAACAATCAATTTTACCTAAATTCTGCATTCATTTTTCGTTCCGAAGAACCCATAACTCGGCGTCCAGAGGCGCTTGGCAGATTTGGAAGGTAGATTTGGAATCACCGCTTAATACTCTTCAAAGCAGTATGGGTCTCATTTGGAAAGGCCACTTCGACTCGACACGGTTCCCTTGTAAGTTGATTGATAAGAGAAGCAAAAAAAGTCTAAATGTATGAACAGGGATGAAAGTGTTAGAATTACGCTCTACTTTCCTAGACAATATTCTTAATTATATGTTAAGTAAGAAATTCCCGAAACAATGTCGATCCAAAAGCAATTTCTATTTAAACTTCCTGTTTCAAAAGTGGTTCATACTTTAACAAAAACTCCCGTTTTACTGTTGCTTTAACTGCTGTTCCTGTCATGTTCTTTGTTAAAAGAAGCAAAAAAAAAGAGAAAAAAATAGCGACAAGCGGGAAAGAGATTAAATGTTAGGGTTACGGTAACGTGACAGAAAACTCCTACCTCATAGAGCGCCAAAGGCGAATGTTGTTCACATAACGGTATTCGTTCGGCGCCATCATCTGTAAAAGATTCAATTTTGAGATAAGAACTCCGTTTCTCAAAACAATTGAATACCACTAACGTTCATGTATTGGTTTTTGCATGTGCTGATCGCTCGTTTTTTTTTATTCTCTCAGAAAATTAAAATTCAGAGCGACTCAGAGGCACGCGCGCAACAGCGGCGCAAACGCGTATGAATATGTGAATTTTAAAATCGAGAAGGTACGCGTGCGATTCGATTTGCGTGTCCTCGACGTCAACTTCGGCAGTCGTCGTCAGTCAAATCCTTGGCCGAAAGATGTCAGATGCGATAAGAGGACCACGAGGGGGGGGGGGGGGGTGAAGACGCGCACCACACGCACACGAGAGTGAAAGCGCGCATGAAAGCGAACGCGCGTGCGGCTTGTCAAAATAGCTGGCAACAGGTGTGCTGAAGAGAAAAATATTTTCAGGGTTTTTGTTGAGTGCAGTTGAAGGATAACTACATCATTAAAACTGAAGGGCGTCCCCTCTATCAATTATCCCACGAAAAAAAATTCTGGGCCTTTTTAAAAAAAATTTCAAAGCGTCCGTAAAGCATGCACAATCGTGATTTCTTCAAATTGCGGAAACAGGATGAGAAGTACGGATTTTCAGGTCAAAATTCCTTAGATTTAATTGAGCGAGCAGCAATGGAATCCATGAATTTGTGAGATTGCACAACACGCGCAGCACCTCACGACATTTATTTTGTTGTTTATTTATTTATACTTATTCCATTATTATTTATTATTATTTTATTTACATCTATATTTATCAGTAAACAACCTGTAGGACAAGAGTCGATAGGATAATCCGTTATAAAAAGATTTTCACAATCGTTAAGGGCCTGGCATACTTTACGCAATTTCACTGGCGTCGCGATTTGGCAATTCGCCAAAAGTCTTCAGATCCAACACTAGCAAATTGCACATACATAGTGTGTATAACTTACGTGGATTGATTCAAAATGTGCTTACAGTCAGTTTTGGATAGTTGGAATATTGCCAAATCGCGTCGCAAACGAAGTCGTGTGAAGTTTACCCGGCCATTTGTAGCTATTTACGTTCCAGAATTTGGGAACATAATCTTATATGCCGTATAATGCTGTGTATGTTGTGCAATGCACTACTGCAAAGAAAAAACTCTGTATTTTTCATTTTTTTTCATTTGCTTACATGTGTAGGCGGATTTCTACCGCAGCCTACACAAAAAAATAAATAAATTATTTTTCTAACACAACCTGCGCAAAATTTCCAAGAAAAGAAGTGTAAGCATGTTTTTGACAAAAATTGCTCTCGATTTCGCGCTCTAAAGCTAACCTCCATAATTATTATGAGAACTCTATAAATTCTTTTGTGCTTTGAGAATTTTAGAGAGGAAATTTCTATAGACCTGGCTTTTCCAAGTCCTTTCTTGTACTTGCAATTATTTCAGCAAAAAAGTGCATTCCAAAACTTTTCAATCTTTTGCTGTGTAATTACTTCTACCGTACTCCCTTTTTAGAACAAAAATAGAATTTCTAAAAACTTAATTGCATACCGTATGAATTGCTATTGCTACGTCTAGCAAACTGCTAGACGAAGAAACATATGTTTTAGCGCAAGTGTTAATTACTTTACAGCAGTAATCCGGCAAGATGCCAGCAATTTTCGAGATGGTAATGCAACAGGGCCGTAATTGCACAAAAATAAATTTTCTGGGATTATTTCCTGTTTCTGAGAATATAACATTAGATAAAGTGCAGCACTCAATAACCAAACGAAAGTTCACTTTGCAAATTTTGTTCAACCACAATTTACAGAAATCTATCCATGCACGAAGGTGGGGGACATCCCACCAACAGCCTCACCGGGCAACTGCCACAAACCGTGCAATTTTAAGCATGGTAGCGTGTACCAGTTGTCAAGGTGAGCCTATCGGCAACTAACATCCTCCATCTCCGCAAAAGTGATTAGAAAAACTAAAGCGTGAAAAATCAAAGTTAGCGAGACAAGAGACAGTAGCCAAACAGTGCAATGCAATTTGCGAAATGAAATTGGAAAAAAGTGTGGTGATTATTTTCTAAACGCAAAAACAATGTCAGACTTACTACTTTCCCATGATATTTTCTCATCGATTATGTCATCGCATTCAATTTCTAAAAATGGGTTAAGAATGGTCCTGTGACGAATGGCGGTGCGTGCGATTATCTTCTAGTACTGTGAATGGTGAATTCGATGACCCTGGCTGTGAGCAATCCAAATTTTTTTGTGGTTTGCAGAGGTGACGAAAAGGGGGGGGGGGTGCTTGGAGCAAGCTCTAATGCAGAGAAGTAATTGTTGATAGTGTCACGAGCATTTGCATGTCTGCGATAACGTGGCTGCTTGTGCAAAAGTGCAAAATGTCTACATACTATAAATACAATGCTGCAATTACACAAATGAGTGCGAAGCTCTAGATCTGCTTGAAAACGCACAAAAATCAATGCAAGAAATTTTGCTGGATTACTGAAACTATTTCATCAGCTATAAGAGAAAACTCTTACGTATTGGACCATATGAATGTGGAGGAAAATGAAAAGATATTTTTACCAAGTTTTATGAAAATATCAGCATGTAAAGACCAAACTTTTAAACTTCCATCATACTTATTTGAAACTGGAAATATAGAAAAACCCTGTTTTAGATTGAAAAGACGACCACGACAACAAGTCTAATGCGGAAGCGGTCCCGACGCCTTTGAGTCGTGGACGGAACGCGATGCGAACGCGGGCATATCAGAGGCGGCAAGCACAATGTCATATATGTCAGTGCCTTAGTAGAATAACACTTCTCGCTTCTAACAATAAGAAGCTCCTATTTAATGCAATTTACAGAAGGATATTCGTGCTAAAAATTTTGTAATTAAGTGTATTTTTTGCTATTACCCTATTCAACTCTTTTTGAATTTATTTACCAGTTATTTCCTATTCATTTGATATTCACTCTTCCTTAGTGCTATTTAAAGAATGTCATTATTTCACATGTATTTTCGTACAATATGCAACCAACTATTGGTGTGTCTAATGTGACTGGTGAAAAGTGGCATGTGGGCGTGGCTGACCAATCATAAGTGACCAGATTGATTCTTACACGATATATGCGTGTCATCTGCGCACAAAGCTCCAACAACCACATCAGTTCCTACATAAGCGAGTAATTTGTTCACGAAGCTCCAAAATAGTACAGATTTGAAACATAGTCATTCTCCGTTTTACTATTTTTGCTTAGCGAGATTCTAACCCGATGCCTATGTGATTGGTGGGAAATGGAATTATGGGCGTGGCTGTGGATTTGACCAATCATAAAAGCTCAAGTCAATTCTCGCAGATATGTGTGCGGTATATGCAAAAGGTCCAGTTACACTACAAAACTTGATGAGGGTGTTTTTCCCAATCAAGTGTCCTTATTTGCCTAGAAAAATTGATGTTCAGAATGTAGTTAAGTTCAGTGGAGAAAACTGGGTCCCTCCACCTAGCCTCCATTGGATGAGTAGCAGACTCTCATTGCGACACATACACTAGCGTAATATAAACAAATCTTGTCTCGCTGTCGCTACACAGCACTCTGTCATGAACACTCATAGTGATGGATACTCTCTGGCTCTTACTAGCTCACTTCACTACTCAACTTGAAGTGCTTCCCGGCCGAGCTTGAGCTATTTCCACCCATCACGGGCGCACTTTCTGCGTTATCACAAAGGTCGTTTCGAGCGTTTTATGATCGGGCAAATAAGCTTATCAAGAATTTGTGGCGGTACTGGAGCTAGGGAGCAGGATCGAGTTATTTCTGAAAAAGAGCAAAGGCGCGCATTTTTGGAGAGGGGGGGGGAGATGGAAATGGCAGGTAGTCGAGTGGATGTTGCACCTGCCTTCTCTCAAATTATATATTGTAGCCGATAGCCAGGATTATGTAAGGAACTGTAAATGATAATTATCTGATTGAAAAATGAAGAACAAGATGAAAAAGAATGAAAAAATTGATCGAAACTATGAATTGAAACGTTTCGAAGAAATCTAGAAAAAAATTAGACCCAGTGCGATTTTTTGTTGTTTCTACGAAAAGCTTTGTGTGTGATTGCAGATTTTGCAACCGAACAAATAGCAGTATTAGATATTTATTTCAGAAAGCTTGTGGAGTAAAAATTACTAAAAATCGAACAAAATCCCGTTTTTTGCTAGAGAGTTCTAATCCATTCTGGTTTCCTTAAGACAGACCTGACAAGGGAGTTCAAATTGTTGATTTATGATCGGACATGGCAATAACAATTTGTAGAAAATTTCAGCGCAAAGGATACTGTAGTGGTACTGTAAGTGAACACTGTTATACAAGCAAGCAAAGTATAACTCGTAATGAGAATACTGTGTGCTAAATAGAAAACAAAATTTCTCCAGGTCAAAGCTAATAGGCAAACGCGGACGATTTGGGAAGGGATACTGTAGTGGTACTGTAAGATGACTAATAGAACAATCAATATGGGCCGAACTAATGGCAAACGAGAAGCTACTGTGTGCTTTCAATTGCACCAATATAGCAAGAAAATCTATCTTGGTTTGAAGGAATACTGTAATGGTACTGTAATGCACAGCGATATAAGCTGGCTGAGTATTAGCGACAATGAAAGTTCACAAAAATAGGCTCACATAGTAAAACAAAAGAAAATCAGTCTATACTAAAGTTTTTATGGGATATTTCACAGTAAGAAAAGAAAGAGCAGAAGGATACTGTAGTAACACTGTAGCCTTTTGAACGCTGTCTGGGCAAATTAACAGATTTTTATAAAATTTGATATAATGCTGGGGAAATGGGAAAGTGCTCGTAGAAAGTGGAATTTTTTCTGAGTTCTAATCATTTCTACCTCTAAGCTTCGCACATTTTAATTTTTCCTACTTTTTGCTTACCTGATACCGTACCAAACTTGTACGGCCCAGAAAATAGTCCGGCGCTTTCCAGCGAATCAAATCGAGTACGAACCATCGTAG